TCAAAGGAAAATTATGGATGATTCCCCACACGTACCCCAGTTCTAATACCCCAATTCTCTCTGTTTACTTAAAGGCTGCAAAGGGCCACCACCTCAGACTGTGCGGAAGTTACTGGAGCAACGAAGACAACAACAAGCTGCTCTAAGCCACAGCACTGGACCCCTGGTGAGTCACGTGTTGAAAACACCTGTTCATCGGTATTACATGCAGATAGCCACACGCTTCTCTGAAGTACAACTCAGTTTGAAGGTTGAATCATGGCAACTGGACAGTTGCCATGATTCAACCTTCAGGCACCTTTGCCTGTCAATTCGCCATGGCCAACTCAACATGGCCAACTCTCCAGTGCCAACTCACCCCAGGACAATTCGCCATGGCCAACTCACCACAGGACAAGAGTTACACTAATATCGAAGAAATAGTGGAATAGAATCGTTTAAAAAAGGATGCCGAATTGAGGGACAAAATGAAATGCGAATGACGAAAATTAAAATATGTTTTAAACTATTTTAAATCATTAAATTGAATTGTTGAATGGTCCCGCAGTGAATTGGCCTGTGGCGAGTTGGCCATGGCAAGTTGACCATGGCAAGTTGGCCATGGCATGTTGGTTGTAGCGAATTGGCCATGGCAAGTTGGCCATGGTGAGTTGGCTGCGGTGAGTTCAGTGGTGGGTTGCTACTGGTCCTCCCCGGTTCTTGCGAACCGGTAGTGAAAATTTTGAGTAGTTCGGAGAACCGGTAAATACCACTTCTGCCTGGCCCCGCCCCCAATCTATTCACTGCCTCCTGAGTCCCAGCTGATCAGCTAGAAGGAAAAAATCAGGGTTCACTTGACAAAGAAGAGGAGAAAAAAAAACAAGACACCTTAGCTTTAAATTGAGAAGCCAAGAAGCCTCCCAACTGATCGGCTAGAACCGATCTGCTCCTTGTAAACTGCTCGGTGGTGGTAAATTCGCAATTGAGGCCAAGCTGCCTGAAAGCGGTTTCCGATGATCTCAGTGGTGGCAGAACAGCAAAAAACTGTTTAAACTCTTGCCGCGGCGCTTCAAAGGGCCATCCTACAGCTGATCAGCAGTAAAAGGCAGTGTGGTGGTAGACCAGTGTGCTCCAAAAACAAATGGGTAGACCGGTGTGCTCCAAGAACAAATGGGTAGACCAGTACGGCTCTGCAAGCAGTTAAAAGCCTGGTAGACCAGTACCTCTGCTAAATCCTAAAGAATTGTTTGCCACATGACCATCAAACCACGCCCACAAAATAAGCCACGCCCACAAAACCGGTAGTAAAAATCAACCCCTGGGTGAGTTGTCCCATTCCCCCTTTAGAGACCTTTGCCTGGATGACTGAGATTCTTCACCGACACAACTCAGTTTCTTTCTAGGTTCTTTGTGGAATCACTGAACTATTTTGGGCCTTCATTCGTCTTGTTCCTCAAATGCATTTGAACAGAGAGGGTTGATCCAACCTGTTCTTATTGCCGTTCTCAGATTCATTACTTTCTCTCTCTTTCTCTTCCCATTTCAGATCCCTCCAGGAGCTTTAGAAGCCAGCTGGACAGGTGAGTGGCCTCAGACATCTGGGAATGTAATTGCTTTATCTCTGTCACAAACGCTCTTGTGAATTTAGCTTTCCATCAGCTTCTCTAAACATGGTACCCTCCAGCTGGCATCTTAACAACTCCAGCAATTCTAACGGAGCAGAGATTTTCCAGTGCATCTGGAGGTTAACAGATTATGCTAAGCATTTGAGGTACTTAAGGTTTTCCACTTAAATTGCAGCAAGAATCATTTATTTTGGGCTTAGGTCACTTAATAAACTTCCAAGCAGTTTCAGATTTAACTCATTATCTATCTCTTTATCTCTCGATCTCGATCTATTTAATCTATCTAATCAATTTCCTTACTGTTGCAGAATCATTGCTCCATTCTCAAAATGGCACTGCCACTACAGGCGGTTCTCAATTTACAACCGTTCACACTTATGACCATTGCCGCATCCCCCTGCTCATGTGTTCAAAATATGGTAACTTGGCAACTGACAAGTATTTTATGACAGTTGCGCTGTCCCAGGGTCATGTGATCTCTTTTTGTGACCTTTCCCAGCCAGCTTTCCACAAGCAAAGTCAATGAGGAAAGCCAGTTTCGCATAATGACTGCATGATTCATTGTGATTTGCTTAACAATTGTGGCAAAAAGGCTATAAAATGGGGGGGGGGGGCTCACTTAACAACAGCCTCACTTAGCAACAGAAATTTTGGGCTCCATTGTCAAGGACTACCTGGATCTTCCGTTACTAAGGAAATACATTCTTGGAGAACTCCAAGTCAATCTTGATTTCTTCTCTGCTTTAGGAGAGTAAAGTTAGGACATTGTTTCAGTGTGGCTTGCTGAATCTGGACGCTTTCCATCTTGGGTGACCTTCAACTATGAGAATTTTCAATAATCCTCATGCTGACTGGGGAACTCAGATTGGTATAGTGGTTAAGATCAGGGGTGGGCTTCAAAAATTTTATCAAGGGGTTCTCTGCCCAGTTGCTTGGTGGACGTGGCCATGGTGGGCGTGGCCTAGTTGGCCTCCTGCATCATGGGGGAGGAGGCGTTTTTGCCCTCCCCGGGCTCCGGAGGCTTTTCTCAAGCCTTCGGAGGGCGAAAACAGCCTCCCCAGGCTCCGGAGTCCCTCTGGAGGTCGGAAACGGACTTGTTTCTGGCCTTCCTGAACTTCGGGTAGGCCCGTTTTTCACCCTCCCTGAGCCTCCGCGCGCACCCTGCACTTACCTGTATCCAAAACGGGCCGTGTGGGGCAGGGGTGGGTTCTACTTACCTTTACTACCGATTCGCAACGGGATCGCGTCTGCGCATGCGCAGATCGCATGTCAGTGGGCGGAGCCTCCTGCCAGTTTTACTACTGGTTCTATAGACCCGGTCTTGCATCTGGAAATTAGCTCTCTGGCAGCGTTCCAAGTGAGATAAAGGTGTGTGTTGATAACCTTCCTCTGAAAGACTGTCAAGCCTTGCGGACTGTACATGAAAGTAATTTACAGTCATATAAATAAAAGAGGTTTTACGGGACTAAGACTTGGCTTCATGCTTTCTAAGGAAGCCTAGGTCAGAGCAACATCTCCAAGAAAGCAACCAAGCTCAGAGAGGACCAAGGACCTCTCAGAATGGAAGATGTTCAAATGAAGCACAAGTTCTGCCCTCTTAAGATCTGGTTAGAACATTAAAGGCCCTAGGCAGTTGTTGCCACGTCTAACTTCAAGAGTGGAGATGGATGATTTGCCGAGAGGGATTTTTCAGTTGGAAGACGATAACAAGACTGTCTCTGGTGGTTGCCACAGTTTTGAATGTTAAACTAATTATCTTTTATTGGAGAAAGCTATCTCAGCCTCATGTTTGTGAATCCTGCTCTGTCTATCAAACACACTAAGGTCATCGGCCAAATTGACATCTTTGATCAGAGTAAAAACATTAAGTTTAACGCTGACTGGAAAACCCTTATAGACCTTGTGTGCATGAAACAGGGGGGAGAAAAATGAATTTTTGATATATGGTTTTGATGATTAAAAAATAAGATTATAGAAAAAGTGAGAGCCGTGCAGTAACCATCAAGTAAGAAGTTAATTTCCACTTATAACTGCTACAAAAGAAAATCAGACTGTTTTTTCCCCCTGCACTTCTGGCTTTGTTTTTCCTTCCTTCTAAATATTAGTTTCTATTAGTTTCTATATTTCTTGTTTAAAATCCCAATAAAACTATTTAAAATACAGGCGTCATCCTGTATTAACTCATTTACAGGGCAAGATTTATTACTCAGATACATTTATTGTAGATTTATTGCCCAACGTTCCATTAGGTCTTTACTTAGGATTATCGATTAACTGTTATGTACTTAATAACATTTCCTCCAAGGGTGCAAATTGACCCAGAGGTTTTCCTCTGCTGCATTTTTTACCTTGCAACAGCCCTGCAAGGGAGACTTTATTTAGGCATAGAGGTATGTATTCAAATTCTACAGCTGCCCATCTTAGTCAATGACTCTGAGTGGCTTACAATTCAAAAAAAAACATATATTACGATTAAAAATACCGAAAACAATAAAGACACTAAAAATGTCCAGATTAAATATATATATAGGAGCAAGATACTTATCCAGTTAGCCAAGTATGACCATTTTTCACCCTTAGACAGCTGCAGCAGATAATTAAGGTCATAAATGTAGGCTCGAGTACAGTGATCTGTGCACTTTCTGCTTCTCCAAAGAAATCAGCTTTATACTGTTGGAAGAAATATCCATCTGGGTTCAGTTCCAAGTGGGGGGAAAAGACACTGGATTCATGGAAGTTGCTTGGAAAGAAGGATTATTGATGAACAGGGTCGCATGGTTTGAGATCCTGGGCAGAAAAAAGGGCAGAGATGCTGAGAGTGCCTGGGTATTATACCCTCTGAATTTGAGCTTGTGTTCTGATTGGTTGTCAGACTCCCATGGGGCCATGCAGGGATCACTTTGTAGGTTGTCCCAAGCTTGGTTGACTCTTGCTGGGTGATGATGTAATGAAAGGGCTTTGGGCAATTCCTACTATGGCTCTGCCTGAAGAAGGTAGATATTTGTTATGTAGAATAGACTGGCCCAGGCCTTAATGGCCCATTGACAAAGGTGGTGGTGGGGGGGCTGAGTTTCTGCCTCCCTTTTAGGGGAAATATTCTGCCCTTTTTAATATTTCCTAAAATATCTCATTTTCCTAGGAGAAGGGTGGGTGCTAACTTCCTACAATACACTGACTGGAACTTCCCCAAATCTCTTTCCTTAGAGCCCCATGGAACAATAGAAAAAGGGGGTTCTGTTCTAGGACAGCCTACGGGTCCTCCGTATCCAGTTGCTGCCTTTCCTGCCTGGCAACCAGATGCCTCCAGCCAAGCAGCTTTCCCTCCAGATTTTCACTACCCGTGTGTGGACCCTGGCAACGATTTCCATCTCCAGCCTCAAGGGAGCCAGTATGATGTGATGAGCCCCTGCCCTCCTTTGGAAACCAATATTTATGGGGCAGCAGGTCCTGGAGGTCCCGAGGAAATGTATCCGTCCAAGATAACATCAGCGGTAAATTACGAGGTGAGATGAGGAGAGATGGACGTGGGATAGAATGAGCTCCCTGGCGTATGTAGCAGTGGAACCATATAAATGTCTCAAGCTGGCTGTAAAAAGCCACTTGCTTCTCAAAAAGAGAATCCCGAGAATTGTGTGCAGATGTGATCTCTTCAACGCGTGCCAGGAGCCTTTCCAAAGTGGAATTCACATCTTTTCTTTGGAAAGGACAATGAGAAAGCAGTATGTTGTATATTTTTTTTAAAAAATGCCCAGATGTATTTGCAAAGTAGATAAGTCTGGGCTCACTTCCCCTATCCAGATGCTATCCAGATGAGCTGAACTACTGTAGTATGTAAGAGAAAATATGGTGCCGGTTTGGAGACAAGTAAATCCGAGCCAAGCATCCATTCCCTTTCTTGAATACCCACCCGGGACCTTGAGAAAAAAATAATAATAAACCCAATGGAATCAGTCGTGAAATATTTAGAAGGCAAAGGGAGGCTGATAAGACTAGAAGATACATTGGGAGAACAAAAAGGCATTCCGTGAAGATAGCAGTTCCAGAAGATACTAGCAGCAGGATCTGGTACCTAAGGCAGTCTAAGACAAGACCCATGACTATAACTGGGTCTAGGACAGGGGCAGTGGTGGGTTTCAACAAATTTTATTACTGGTTCTGTAAGTGTGGCTTGGTGGGCGTGGCATGGCTTGGTGGGCATGGCATGGGAAGTATACTGTAAAAGTGTAAAATATACACTTATATCCACCTTCATTCATGAGTTCTAATCCTGCCTTAGCCATGAAAGGTCAGCAAGGATCATGGGCAGAGGTAGATAAGGGAGAACCACCAGTGGTGGGCTGAAACTGGTTTAATAACCGGTTCGGTGATTGCACACCTAATGCGCTTGGGTGCAGTGTTCAAAATACAGCAATTTGAAGCTCAGCTGCTTACCTTCTAAGGCAGCCCCAGTAAGCAGAACAACAGAACAGAAATCAGCTGTGCCGTGTGAATCAGCTGAGCCAGAAAGAAGGAAATATAGGACAGGATAGGGCAGGGGCCAGTGGGCGGGGTCAGCTGATCGTCAGAACTACCAGTTCGCCCGAACCGGCAGCAGCCCACCACTGAGAACCATCCACCTTTAGATCAGCTTCACTCCATCACCTGTTTAACTTTTTTTTTTTTTTTTTTTACATTTCCATCCAGAAGGTTGCCCCTGAAGCTGTCCATCTTTATCCAAGCTCGGAGACCTCCTGGCTGGGACAGGAACAAAACAGTGCTTGCCTCCTCCTTCCTGGGAGTTACGCAGACTTATCTGTGGATGTCGATCCAGGGGAACTGACTCAAGCTCGGGCACAGATCCAGAATATAGATCTATCTCACCTTTTGCAGCAGGATGAAGATGGCGACACGTAAGTATACAACCGGGGCACCAACCCGCTGAGAAACTCATTCTGTGTTCTTGTTTGGGACGGCGGTGGGAAAAAAATGAAAGGTTTTGGAAAGCAGATAACAAGCAGGCTACATGGAGTGGTGCGGTGGCCTAGAGGTGGCGCTCTCGCCACACAATCAGGAGGCTGTGAGTTCGATCCTAGGTAGAGGCAGATATTTCTCTCTCTGGGCACAATGAGAATATATCTGCTGAACAAAACTCTGCATTGGTGACAGGAAGGGCATCCGGCCAGTAAACACTCAGCTCCATTCAGCTGCCTAGACTCCACTCCGCAAGGGGTCGTTAAAGGATGATGATAAGAAGCAGGCTACATAGGAACCAACTGGGAAAGGGACTGGAATCTGTTCCCAATCGGGTGCTTTTCAGATAGGTGAAGACTGCAATTTCCAGCTTGGAAATGCCTGGCTAGAAATGCCAAGTGTTATATAGTCGTATCACATCTGGAATGCATCACACTGGGAAAACATCCATGGTTGCAGTGTAAAAACAGGATTAAACGATGGCAGCCGTGTCATTTTCTTGTCACTTAGAGTGAATCAGATAGGAAAAAGCATGGCAATTGTGTGGCCTACAAAGTATTGCCACACAACAAAGGCAGCCAGTAGATTTACAGTTTGCATTTTTATATGTTAAATCTTTGTAGATGCCCTTGTGATAATTCCTTTGCATCTGTATGCATATCACCGTGCTAATCCCTAATAATATATCATCATATCCCACATGCGATTCCATTTCAGGTAAGTTAATGTTATACCCACAGAGAAAAGGCAAAAGGCAGTATTTCTCAATCTTGACAACTTGAAGATGGGTGGACTTCATGTTGTGGTGGGGGATTCTGGGAGTTGAAGGCCACTCATCTTCAAGTTGCCAAGGTTAAGAAACACATAAGGAGCAGCAAGCAAAATTCTATCAATTAATGACATGAGAGAAGAAAGTAAAAAGATACATGGCTAAATCTAATTTATGCCAATACTGTTCATTAGACTCTATAAGCTAAAGGTAAAGGTTTCCCTCGCACATATGTGCTAGTCATTCATGACTCTAGGGGGCGGTGCTCATCTCCGTTTCAAAGCCAAAGAGCCAACGCTGTCTGAAGACATCTCCGTGGTCATGTGGCCGGCATGACTAAATGCCAAAGGCGCACGGAACGCTGTTCCCTTCCCACCAAAGGTGGTCCCTATTTTTCTACTTGCATTTTTTATGTGCTTTCGAACTGCTAGGTTGGCAGACGCTGGGACAAGTAATGGGAGCTCACCCCGTTACACGGCACTAGGGATTCGAACCACTGAACTGCCGACTTTTCGATCGACAAGCTCAGCGCCTTAGCTACTGAGCCACCGCGTCCCTTCATTAGAATCTATAGCTTTCTATATTTGCAAGTCACACTTGCTTCCCTCACCTTTAAATACCCCTATATGTGTTGCACAAGGAACTGATTAGGATACTATAAATAAAAATGTAGTAGATACTTTACTGTTTCTGAGAAAGCTATGATCAGGTAAGCAATGTCCTCACCTGTACAGTTGGCTTTATGAATTCAAGAGCGACCTTGGTTTTCCTTCCTATGATCCTTTATCTGGAAATAGACTGAAACTTGGCAAAATTCAAAATTCAAATTATAAAATAAGACATGCAGCCAACAAGTTTGCAAACAAGAGAATGCAAGTTGCTTAAAATGCTGGGGGAGGGACTGAGAATTCTCAGTGCTAGTTGTAAACTCACAAAAGTTTCTGAAGTCAGAGTACTTAAAAAAAAGCGAGGGTAAGGATGTTGACATGGGAAGTGGCTATCCAAACAGTATGGTGGACTTGGGATCATTCTGAGCTCTTCTTCTCCAGGTTGCTCCATCTCTTTGTGGCTCAAGGACTCCGCCCATTGTCGTATGCTGCAGCTGAAATGCTCCGAGATTGTGGACAGTTGGATGTCAAAGAACACAGGGGGAAGGTGAGTGTGTTCTGTGGCAGGGGTCTCCAAACGTGGCAACGTTGCTGGCTGGAGAATTCTGGGAGTTGAAGTCCACAAGTCTTAAAGTTCCCATACTGGCTGGGGAATTCTGGAAATTGAAGTCCACAAATCTTAAAGTTCCCATACTGGCTGGGGAATTCTGGGAGTTGAAATCCACAAGTCTTAAAGTTCCCATGCTGGCTGGGGAATTCTGGGAGCTGAAGTCCACAAATCTTAAAGTTCCCATGCTGGCTGGGGAATTCTGGGAGCTGAAGTCCACAGATCTTAACTTCCCATGCTGGCTGGGGAATTCTGGGAGCTGAAATCCACAAATCTTAAATTTCCCATGCTGGCTGGGGAGTTCTGGGAGCTGAAGTCCACAGATCTTAAACTTCCCATGCTGGCTGGGGAATTCTGGGAGCTGAAATCCACAAATCTTAAATTTCCCATGCTGGCTGGGGAATTCTGGGAGCTGAAGTCCACAGATCTTAAACTTCCCATGCTGGCTGGGGAATTCTGGGAGCTGAAATCCACAAATCTTAAATTTCCCATGCTGGCTGGGGAATTCTGGGAGCTGAAGTCCACAGATCTTAAACTTCCCATGCTGGCTGGGGAATTCTGGGAGCTGAAATCCACAAATCTTAAATTTCCCATGCTGGCTGGGGAATTCTGGGAGCTGAAGTCCACAGATCTTAAACTTCCCATGCTGGCTGGGGAATTCTTGGGAGCTGAAATCCACAAATCTTAAATTTCCCATGCTGGCTGGGGAGTTCTGGGAGCTGAAGTCCACAAATCTTAAAGTTGCCAAGTTTGAAAATCCCTGGTCCATGTATTAGCTGGAGGTTCTCTGCCTGCACAGATATTGCTAAAGGTATCTTGCCTGCAAGAATTATCTTCCCATCATCCTGTGGCTTGTCCTGCATCATCTGCTGCTCCATGTTATACTGGAATGGGAAAGCATCAGCATCTGTCCTTCAAGAATCTGAGATTGCAATGTAAAAAAAAATGCCATTCGGAAGCAGATTTGGACACATGTTCCTGCTACATGCAAACATAAAATAGAGCCTATTTTTTTCCCCCTTACAACAGTCACAGTTTTGGATCTAGGATCGGCATATCAGGGCAGCAGCCAGATGCAATGGACACTGTGCCTCGAGCTCCCTTCAAACTATCAGCTGTACAAGCTGGCAACCCATGTTTCTCTACTTTGGCAGCTCGCACATCAGCAGACTTCAATTCTCAGAATTCTCCAGAATTGATTTTTTTTTGGGGGGGGGGAGTTGATGGGATGGGGGGCTAGGGAGAGTTGAATTTGGGGAGCTGAAGTCCATACATCTTCAAGTTGAGAAACCCTGAGCTAGAATGATGCTGAGCTGTGAAAGCTTATGGCACGTCATTCCTTCCACCCATTCCTGCCTCCATAATGAACTGCCATTTGAGTGGCTGCCTTATACGGACCACCTGTTAAGATTGTGCCCTCAATCAATTTTCTACAAAGCTTCTCAGCCATTCAGGTCATGGTTGTCCCAAAGGTGCTTTTCCAAAAGGCAACTGGATTTTCTTGCTTTTTTTTTTCCCCCTTTGAAAACGTTTCGCTTCTCCTCCAAGAAGCTTCTTCAGTTCAATTTTTTTTTTCTTTTCCTTTGGGCCCAGACTCCATTATTAGTGGCGGCTGCAGCCAATCAACCTAAGATCGTGAAGGACCTGATTTTGCTGGGAGCAGACATCAATGCCATGGACCAAAAGGGGCAGACGGTGCTGCACCTTGGCGCCACCTACGGGCTGCCCAGTGTCATTGAGGTGAGACTGGCCTATTTTCCCCCACTAGAATAGCCTTGTGCAAAGTAGGCACAATACAGGTAGTCCTCGACTTACGACCGCAATCGAGCCCAACGTTTCTGTTGTTAAGAGAGACGTTTGTTAAGTGAGAGTTGCCCCACTTTACAACCTCCCTTGCCTCGGTTGTTCAGTGAATCCCTGAAGTTGGTAAGTTAGTAACCTGGTTGTTAAGTGAATCTGGCTTCCCCATGGACTTTTCTCGTCAGAAGGTCGCAAAAGGGGATCACATAATCTTGGGACACAACCACGGTCATAAATATGAACTGGCTGCCAAGCATCTGAATTTTGATCACATGAATTTTGCTGCCGGTTCAGACCGGTTCGGGCGAACCAGTAGTTGCGACCCACTGCCCACCCATCCCAGCGCTATCCAGTCTTATATCCAGGGGTGAAATCCAGCAGGTTCTAATAGGTTCTGGCGAACCGGTAGCTGAAATTTTGAGTAATTTCGGAGAACCAGCAAATACCACCTCTGGCTGGCCCCAGAGTAGGATGGGAATGGAGATTTTGCAGTATCCTTCCCCTGGAGTGGGGTAGGAATGGAGATTTTGCAATATCCTTCCCCTGGCAGCCCACCAAGCCACGCCCACAGAACCGGTAGGGGAAAAAATTGGATTTCACCCCTGCTTATATCACCGTGTTTTTGAAGCCAAGTGCGTGCACGGAAGGCGCATGAGCAAAGCAAGTGTGTACGCGATCACGCTCACATTTTCGGTGCTGGGCGGACCAGTTGTTACAATCGGCATCAGTCCACCACTGGTCCCAAGTCAATTTTTTTTCCAGTGCTATTGTAACTTATGCTCGCTAAGCAAATGGTTACAAGTCAAGGACTATCTGTTAAACTGGCAGGGCAGTCCTAACCTTTGGTGAAATCTAAAATTTGTTACTACCGGTTCTGTGGGTGTGGCTTGGTGGGGGGAGGGGTAATGTGACTGGGTGGGTGTGGCCAATTTTTTTTTTTTTTACTTTTAAAACCATTTTTTCTACAACCTCTTCGGCAAAGAGGTTGTAAAAAAAAATGCTTTCAAAAAGCTCTGACGATCCCAGCTGAGTTGCCTGATCAGCAGAGGCTTTTCATTTTTTTAAATGCCTCTGCCGATCAGGCAACTCAGCTTGGATCGTCAGAGGCATTTAAAAGAAAAAAAGCCTCTGATGATTGCGCGGCTCAGCTGGGCATGGGGGGGGGCAGGGATTTTTGCTACCGGTTCTCTGAACCATCCACCTCCATCACTACCGGATCGGGCGATCCGGTCTGAACCGGGAGCATTTCACCCCTGGTCCTAAACTGGCTAGTAAAAACGCCATCCTGCTTGACTTGGCATATCTGTTTTGACATGGTGATTGGGTTGAATCTCCTTCAAAGTGACCCCATTAAAGCTTTGCCTAGCACAACCTCCAGGAGCTCCTGATATACTGGAACTATGTTTCCTAGATATCCTGAGCCAGCATGGAAAATCTCATGACTCAAACAAATCTTTTCCAAAACACACATCGGCTTTATTATTTTCCCCACCCCCGGCTTCTTTTTCAGGCTGTCATGATGACTGGTGCTCCTGTCAATGTGGATGCCAGAAATTTTGAAGGTAAGTGTCAGGTTCTTTGGCAACTGTCTGAACCAAAAGTGACTTTTTTCCCCACCAATCATTCACACTATTTTTTTTTTCCATTAGCAAGATTCATTGAGAAGAAGTCAGGGTGACAAAACTTCCAGCCACCGAACCATTTCACGTTTAAAGCACAGATGAAATCTACTTACCTTCCCTGCCGGTTCGGAAGTGCGCGTGCTGCCATTGTCACATCTGATTTTTGACTCTCTGCACATGCGCAAAGCATGTCAAAAACAGCTTACTTCCTGGTGAAAACCAGGAAGTAACAACGTGCAGGAGAGTGGGCAGAGCCTCGCACTGCCGCCGCTACCAGTTTGCCGAATCAAGCACTGCCACTGCTACCAGCTCGCACGAACCGGATAGAACCGGCAGGATTTCACCACTAATTTAAAGCCATTTTTCCCCCCTTGGATGTTAGGGCAGAGAACTTTCTGATTTTCCTTCTAACAGTCATCTTCTGATCCAGTGAGGGCACAAATCCCTTCACTGATAATACAGACGCTTGCCATGATTGGCTGTCTACATAATGGTTTTCTGGATCCGTAGCTCTCTGGGAACCAACCATTACATCAAGGCGATAAACGCTTTTGATTTTTCTCAAAACCATTTTCATCTGGAGTATATTTAAAGAGCCATGTTGGTCAGAGGTGGTATTCAGCAGATTCGGACCAGTTCTGGAGAACCGGTAGCGGAAATTTTGAGTAGTTCGGAGAACCGGTAAATACCACCTCTGACTGGCCCCGCCCCCATCTATTCTCTGCCTCCCGAGTCCCAGCTGATCGGGAGGAAATGGGGATTTTGCAGTATCCTTCCCCTGGAGTGGGGTGGGAATGGAGATTTTACAGTATCCTTCCCCTGCCATGTCCACCAAGCCACACCCACAGAACTGGTAGTAAAAAAATTTGAATCCCACCACTGATGTTGGTGTAGTGGTTAAGGTACCCAGTTTAGAAACCAGCAGAATGTGAGTTCTAGTTCTGCCTTAGGTATGAAAGCTGTCTAGGTAACTTTGGGCCAATCACCAGGAGACTGTGAGTTCTAGTCCCATCCTAGGCAATAGGCATGAACACCAGCTGAGTGACTTTAGGCCAATCACCAGGAGACTGGGAGTTCTAGTCCCGCCTTAGGCAATAGGCATGAACACCAGCCAGGTGACTTCAGGCCAGTCACCAGGAGATTGTGAGTTCTAGTCCCACCTTAGCCAGTTACACGACCTTGGGCCAGTCCCTCTCTCTCAGCTCTAGGAAGGAAGCAATGGCAAACCACTTCCAAAATCTTGCCAAGAAAACTGCAGGGACTAGTCGCGAATTAAGATATCAAGAGTCAACGCACACACACACACAATGCACGCATGCCGTCTGACTCCTTTTCTACGGTGTTTGTACAGGTCTCACTCCTTTGCACTGTGCCGTCATGGCTCACAATGCTGCCTTCCAGACACAAAACATGGAGCCCTCGTCCCAACATCACCTGCAGAACTTACTGCTCTGTATTCAGCGGCTTTTGCAACTTGGTGCTGATTACAAGAGCCAGGTAAGCGGTCAAGCGTTCATAGCGCGGCAAGGAAGAAAGATTCCTGACGCTCCAGGAAGAGTGGTTACAATAGCACAGGGGTGTCAAACTCGATTTCATTGAGGGCCGCATCAGGGCTGTGTTTGACCGTGGAGGGCCGGAGTAGGCGTGGGCCGGGTGGCCGTGGCCAGCTCAACGTCACTCGTGTCGGGGGCGTGCAGCCCTCCCAAGCTCCGTTTTTGCTGACAAAGTCACCGCGGGCCAGTCCTTCGCTGTTTCCAGGGCAGCCCCATGGGCCAGATCTAAGCACCCCGTGGGACGGATGCAGCCTCCAGGCCTTGAGTTTGACACCCCTGCAATAGCACCACAAGGAAAGGTGGGAAGGCAAAAGAGCAGATCCCCTCCATCAGAAAGCATATCCCCATTTGGAAGTAATACACAGTTCCATCTAAAGAAGGGACCCCCTTAGATCAGGGGTCTCCAACCTTGGCAACTTGAAGCCCGGCGGACTTCAACCTTGGCGGACTTCAACTCCCAGAATTCCCCAGCCAGCAAAGCTGACTGGGTGACTTTAGGCCAATCACCAGGAGACTGTGAGTTCTAGTCCCGCCCTAGGCAATAGACATGAACACCAACTGGGTGACTTTAGGCCAATCATGAGGAGACTGTGAGTTCTAGTCCCGTCCTAGGTAATAGGCATGAACACCAGTTCGGTGACTTTAGGCCAATCATAAGGAGACTGTGAGTTCTAGTCCCACCCTAGGCAATAGGCATGAACACCAACTGGGTGACTTTAGGCCAATCATGAGGAGACTGTGAGTTCTAGTCCCGCCCTAGGCAATAGGCATGAACACCAACTGGGTGACTTTAGGCCAATCACCAGGAGACTGTGAGTTCTAGTCCCGCCCTAGGCAATAGGCATGAACACCAACTGGGTGACTTTAGGCCAATCACCAGGAGACTGAGTTCTAGTCCCGTCCTAGGTAATAGGCATGAACACCAGCTGGGTGACTTTAGACCAATCACCAGGAGACTATTGAGTTCTAGTCCCGCCCTAGGCAATAGGCATGAACACCAACTGGGTGACTTTAAGCCAATCACCAGGAGATTGGTGATTGATTTGCTGGCTGGGGAATTCTGGGAGTTGAAGTCCGCCAGGCTTAAAGTTGCCAAGGTTGGAGACCCCTTGCCTTAGATCAAATTGAAAAATTCCCTAGACTCACCACTGTCTGGGTATCTGACCTTTGTTTTTGACTTTGGCTAGGACTTGAAGAGCAGTAAAACCATCTTGCATTTGGCTGTTCAAGCTGCAAACCTGCCTTTGGTCCAGTTCCTCCTCAAACTGCCTGGACAAGAACGTCAAAATTTTGTAAACATTAAGGTATGCATTAACTAGGCATTCACATCAAACCTCAACTTTTTACTTTGACATAATAGTTTTATGTAATGCCTTATTCTACTGCAGTCGGAAGTCGAAGCCTTCTCTTTCGCTTTCCCTCTTTTCTCCCCCTCCCCCAGCTTTTTCTCTTCCCTTTTTCCTTCCCTATCTGTCCTGTTATTTACTTTTGTATCTTCTGTGTATGCTCCGTTATAAACCAATAAAATAGTTAATAGCAACTAGGATTCCCCCCTCCATTCAAAAGCCTTGCCCCCAGGGCTGGGCACAGAGAATAGGGAAGCTTTCTTATAACTTCCAGCCTGTGCCTGTACAGATAGTCCTCGATTTATGGCCACAATCGGGACCAGAATTTCTGTTACTGAGCAAGATAGTTGTTCAGTGAGTTGCTCCCAATTTTATAACCTTTTTTTTTTGCCATGGTTGTTAAGTAAATCATGTAGTCATTAAGCATATCTGGCTTCCCCCATTAACTTTGTGGGAAGCTGGCTGGGGAAGTCACAAATGGTGATCATATGACCCCAGGATACTGCAACATTGTAAACACACGTAAGCAACACATTGTAAACACATGTAAGCACCCAAATTTTCATCATGGGACCATGGGGATGCTGTAACAATCATTAAGTGCAAGGACCAGTTGTAAGTCCCTTTTTTTCCCCCAATGTCGTTGTAACTTTGAACGGATGGTAATGAATGATTGTAAATTGAGGGTTGCCCGTATAACTGCCATCAGTTACAGTATGTCAATGCTGCAGATCTTGGAAGCAGCAGATAAAGAATATCTGGAAGCAGTGGTGGGATTCAGCCGGTTCGCACCACTTCGGGAGAACCGGTTGTTAACTTTCTGAGCAGTTTGGTGAACTGGTTGTTGGAAGAAATCGTTAGGACAGAGAACCGGTTGTTAAATTATTTGAATCCTACCACTGTCTGGAATGCATTTGATTGGGGGGGGGGGGGTAATGCATACAGAGGGAGGGAGGGAGGGAGGGAGAGAGGAGGAAGTAGAAGAAGAAGTAGAAGAAGAAGAGGAGGAGGAGGAGAGAGGGAGGGAGGGAGAGTGGGAGAGAGGAAATGAGAAGGAGAAAGAGAGGAGAGCAAGAGGGAGGGAGGAGAGAGAGGGAGAGAAGAAGAAGGAGGAGGAGGAGGAGGAGGAGGGAGGGAGGGGGAGAGAGGAAAGAAGAAGGAGAAAGAGAGGAGAGGGAGAGAGAGAGAGAGGGAGGGAGGAGAGAGGGAGAGAAGAAGAAGAAGAGGAGGAGGAGGAGGAGGAGGAGGAAGAGGAGGAGGGAGGGAAGGAGGGAGGGGAGAGAGGAAAGAAGAAGGAGAAAGAGAGAGGAGAGGGAGAGAGGAGAGGAGAAGAGAAGAGGAAGAAGAGGAGGAGGAAGGGAGCAGAGAGAGGGGGAGGGGGAGGGAGAGAGGAAAGAAGGAGAAGGAGAAAGAGAGGAGAAGGAGAGAGGGAGGGAGGGAGGGGGAGGGAGAGGGAGGGAGAGAGAGAAAGAGCATGACTGCTGAGGCATGGTGTCTTAGACAAGGTACTTCTCCTTTTAAAAACCATTTGCCTGCTCAGCTGCAAGGAGGGGGGGAAGCCTATCTCAACAACATGTGGTGCAGAAGTCAAACAGATGAGAACTGCGTGGGTGGCTTGGCAGTCGTATTGGAGATGCATGAATGAATTTCTCATCTTGCTGTACCTTAAGAGCCGTAACATTAATTTTGTATATGGAATTGAGACGGGGATGGGAGCCTTTCTACCTTAAAGAAGGTGCGGTATGCAGATTCAGGTTCATCATCACCCAAGCCTCAGTGCCTACGTAGGCCGTTCCAGTGAATGCCTCTCTTGATAAGAAGACAATAAGCTGAGCATCGCCTTACGATCGAGGCCCTTTCTCTATCCTCAGGCCCATGGCAACACAGCTCTGCACATGGCAGCTGGCCTACATGGCCATCCTTATCAAGAACAGATTGTCCGCCTCTTGCTAGACCACTGGGCCGATCCCACTGCCCGGAACCCAGAGAACGAGCAGCCAGTTCACCTGTTGACTTCAGGACCAGCAGCCGAGCAGGTGAGTTGAGCTTTTGAATGATCCAGGTAGAGGCTGGGAACAGGCAAAAGATCGAAGGGCAACGTTGCAGCTTTGACAAACTCTTCTCGCCTCTTCTCTCTAGCTGCGTCTTTTGCTACGAAGCCGTCGCTCGGGCCCTGGGTTGGTATATCCCCCATCCTTCACCTGACACAGCCATCCTGGATAGAGGGAGACCGACCTGCCTCTTTCTCTACTCTCGAAGAGTGAGGAAGCCTGAATGTCTTTGTTTCTTTCTTCTCCTTTCTGTTCTCCCCACTCCCCGATGGAATGTGTTGTCTTCTATATTTGCTATATTTAATTAAGTTATTGGATAAGGATTGGGACACCAAGTTGAACCTCAGAGCTTTACACAAAAAAAGCATTTTCTCTTAGTAGAAGTTGGTGCTGTGGGTCAGTGGCAGAGGACTCACTGTAACCAAGGGGTGGGCTTCAGATCCTTTAGCAATGGGCATGGCCATGGTGGGCGTGGCCTAGTCGGCCACCTGCACCACAGCGACAGGCCCATTTTTCACCCTCCCCAGACTCCGGAGGCTTTCCTCAAGCTTCCAGGAGGGTGAAAACAGCTTCCCCCGGTGTCCGGAGGCTCTCCAGAGGCTAGAAACAGGCCCATTTCTGGACTTTTAGAACTTCCGGGAGGCCCGTTTTTCACCCTCCCCAGGCTCCAGAGGCTTTCCTCAAGCCTCTGGGTGGGCGAAAACAGTTTCCCCTGGGGTCCGGAGGCTCTCCAGAGGCCGGAAAAAGGCCCATTTCCAGACTCCGGTAGGCCCATTTTTTGCCCTTCCAGACCCTTCACGCGGCCCCTGCACTTATCTGGAATGATGAACAGGCTGTGTGGAGACTCCTGGGAGGGGAGGGGTGGGTGTGGCCATCCAGGGGTGGCATTTGGGGGTTTGCCGAACCCCGGCGATCCTTGGCTAGAGGATCGGCCGAACCCTGCCAAACCCCCAGGAGCCCACCCCTGACTGTAACCGTAAACCATTGGTGGAGAGCCTGAGTTTATCTCCTCCATCACCACAGCTTCCACCACAGGCCAATGGCATCCCAGATGCAAAGCCACACAAGGTTCCATGTCACCAGCAAGAATGGTGATCTGAGCACCTGGGTCAATCTTCTTCCCACCTGGCAGCCTCTGGTTCGTTCCAGGTCGGAATCCATCCTTCCGCCTATTTGAAGGAAAGTTGATCCGAATTCTGCATCCAGCTACCTCTCTCATTTGGTCCTCTTGACATTCTGTACAATTAGGAGCCCTCCATCTTCCTTATCTACTATGCTTCAATCATTTCCATGAAATGGGATTTTAACTCGAACCATATTGGTTCGTGTATTGTCGTTGTTATTCTTGAATCATATTGGTTTGTTGAACTTCTGAACTTTTTTTTTTTTACTTGAACCACATTGGTTCGTCGATTACTTGGATCATATCAGAGGGACTCCATTTTGAGTGATTACTTAAGGCAAAACTGACAATGCAATTCTACATATGAGTATTCGAATGGGGAGGGAAAGGCCCATTGTATTCAATCGGGCTTGCTCCTCAGAAGTAGATCTAAGACGGAACCCATTTTAGACGAACCCTCCCACTGAATCCAGTCAACAATGGATCCCTAAGAGGGGGATTGTGGGGTTTCTTAAGAATTACTCAGGTATGTCACTGTCTAAACTGGGAAAAGTTTCTTTTCACTGCATAGACATTTGTAGAATGCATTATAGATGTATTTCATTCAAAATGAAATTGGATTGAGTCCAGATTCATGTAACCTGGAGAATCCAAGGAAGCATTATTTTGTGAGCAGGTTTGGGACTTCTAATAGAAGTCTTGGCATGGCCAGCAAATTGAAATTCCCAGGATTTCTCCCAGGGATGGGGATATCATCGTTATTAAGTTAGAGTTAATGACAAGTTAGCCTTTTAAGGCAGAAGGAGTCCTCTTACAGAGGAAACTGCTGGCACTGCTATTCATTATGCCTCAGATTAGCCAGAGGCGAGCAAACAAAGGCAGTTGCACTTGGATCCTGGGTAGTTCAGAAGCATCCTTAAGACTCCTCAAGGAAAGCGGGTGTGTTCAGAACTGCCAGGGTATCTTTGGATATTACTTTTTATTGTGATTGTTATTTAGGCTTTGGCCTGCATTGAACCCTGTCACAGCATCTGTGTCCGGACAGCTGTAGCCAGATCTCTGGCTTGCTTTAAAAAATAAACACCCTACATGGGCCAAAGAAGCAGTCTTGAGCTCTTCTCCGAGACTGCATTATCTTCCTTCCATTTCGGAAAGCTGTAATCGCCACAAAGTGGGAAAAACCGTCCCCCTTTTTCCTTTGCGCTTTTCTCCAATCCCCAACTCACTTCCTGTTCTCCAAGTATCTGGTAGGAATTACGGTTAGTCCTCGACCTTCCTTTAGCCACCATTTAAAGCTACAACAGCACTGGGAAAAAAGTGACTTACAACCGCTCCTCACACTTATGGCCATCGCAGCATTCCCCACGGTCCCGTCATCAAAATTCGGATGCTTGGTGACCAATGTGCATTTAGAACAATTGCAATTGCAAGCATCCTGGGATCAGGTGACTGCCAATTGGTGACCTTCCCATCTGGCTCTGTTTAGTGAGTTTTGCCCCCATTTTATGACTTTTCTTGCCATGGCTGTTCAGTGAAGCACTTGATAAGCTAGTCACTGGGTTGTTAAGTGAATCTGGCTTTCCCAGGGACTTTGCTTGTCAGAAGGTTGCAAAAGGGCGACCTGAGCTCTGGACACTGCAACCGTCATAAATAGGAACCAGTGGCCAAGCATTTGAATTTTGATCACATGATTATGGGGCTGCTGCAAAGATTGTAACAGTCAGGATTCCAAGTAATAGATCCATAGCAAGCAAAACTCCGAGGCAGGTAGATTCCTCAAAGAATTGCTTTATTGGAAATATCATATTGGCACATATCTAGTGAAAACCGACTCTGAAGTCTCTCACGGTTTTCACCTAATTAAAAATAAAAGTTTTTCTACTTTCTCCAAACAATCAGTCACATGGTCCAATCACGGTGCGGGCTGGCAGCCGGGTAGCATCGCTCCGCCTTCCTCCAACCAGGTGTGAGAATGTCCTTGGTTCCCAAGAGAAAATACTTTGTTTTGGCTACAGAATCCCCTTTATCTCAAATCCCCCCTCCCTATCCCTCAGCTCCAAAGTGGCTTCAATCAGGTCAGCTTCAGGGTTGACAGGAACTGTGAAAAATGGTCGTAAGTCACATTTTTTTAGTGCCTTTGTAACTTTGAATGGTCACTAAACGAACTGTTGTCCGTTGAGGACTACCTGTCTTTGTAGACCTTAACAATGCTTGGTTAGTTTTTTACCTGGGGTTCGTTGTTTACATCTAAAGCGTACCATAGGAACCCCCAGCTCAAAAATGCCAAACCCACCATGTGGGTTCATTTAGTAGCCACCTTAATTAAGCCTTACTGACTGTGTGACCATCGCCCACCAATGTAAAACAGACAAGGTATTTCCACCTATTGGCATTTGACGGGGGTGGGGGTGGCAAGGGATGAAATCATGTTGCGTTGCAAACTCTGCCCTCAGTGTTGTGATCCCACAATGCAGGTTTTCAAGAGGGCAGGGCTCTTGCACCGAGATGTTTGCTTCATCATTTTAACCTTGTCATGATTGGGAATAGATGTCTTGTGCTTTCACCCCGTCTGTTCGGGGGTCTGTTATGCTCCTATGCATCCCTCTGTGTACAGATATGATGAAAGCTTGCAAGGGTAGATAACTTGACCAGAGGAAAGATCAAGCAGGCTTTACAATGGAACATATGCTATTGGAGCAGAAGTGTAATAAACCTCCTTTAAAAAAAACAAAAACTCTTCACTTGTCTCTGGTTTATGGTATCCTTTCCATCCTCAGCGAGCCATGTGTGGTCTCCCTTCGGCTTATTTATATTTTATGGATTTCTTGTATTTTGAACCTGGGTTTTTTAAGCCAAAAGAAAACTCGGAGCAGCTGAGTGGTGGAAAAGTCCTTGCCCTGAGGTTTAGCTACAAAAGACAACACACACACACACAAGCGAAGCGAGAGAAAGGTTGGGGAAGGAAGGAAAAAAAAAACACCTCAAGCCTAGGTAGCGATTCTTAAAGTTGCAGTTTTTATTAAACCCAGCTGAGATTAAAACAGTTGAATTAACCATGCAAACTAACAGATGGGGAGGACTCAAGGCATCAGATTCCAGTAGGGAAAAAGGAGAATGCTAGCTCTCGGCTGTTTTGACAAACATTTTACACTTGATTTGTAAGAATCCGACCAGCAGTCAAAACAAAGGTGTCACATAATCCTTTATATATGTTGAGCACAGCATTTTTTTGCAACCTCAGCAATTGTGTCTCGCTAATCCAGGCTTAGTTATATTGTGTGAACCCATCCAAAGACTGCACCACTGGTTTTTAGTGTCTCTACGTGGATAAGGAATGTAGCATCAAAAGAAGGAACTAAGAGTTACCAGGAGACAACGCTATCTTGGACAGTGGGTCAGAGAAACACCAAGCAGGTTACTTAGACGAGTTCCCCTTGTTGTTCAAAAGGCAGCTCTGTATCCAGGGGCAGATAATAGTTTGCTACCGAGTCATAGATCGGTGCTGTCTTTGTGGAGGCAGCTGGCCATCGTCCAAATCCTTGGTAGACATGCTAAACACAAGAAACAAGATGTGATAAGATTCCATATTATTTTTAAAGTACGGTATTAAGGTAGAGGGAACAGAACAGAATGTGGAATGTGGAAAAATGGAATGGAATGGAATGGAATGGAATGGAATAGAATAGAATAGAATAGAATAGAATAGAATAGAATAGAATAGAATAGAATAGAATAGAATAGAATAGAATAGAACAGGAGTAACAGAGTTGGAAGGGATCTTGGAAACCCTATATATCCTTTCAGACAAATGGTTCTCCAATCTCTCCTTTAAAACTTCCAGTGTTGGAGCATTCACAAGTTCTGGAGGCAAGTTGTTCCACTGATTAAATACTTCCACTGAAGTATCCATCCACAAAACTCCATTGATAAAGCATCCTACCGTACCCTTGATCAGAAACCACAGAGTACAACACAACAGGACTATCTCAGAATTCCCCTTCCTCTCAAGGTACTCACTGCATATTCATTGATCCATGGTTCATCGTTGGTGTTCCATTCACCATAGAGGGGACCCATGTCCTCCAATCTCTTAGGACCTCCTACTTCCTCGTATTCATGATGCTCTTGAGAGCCGATCCAAGGGAGCGAGATGTTGGGATCTGCAAAGAAAGCAGAAGTTCTCCTTCCGGCAACAGGCTTGCCCTCAAAGCATTCAAAGGATGGGCCTGAATGTGGAATTAGGGCTGGAACGAAGAGGAGGAGGGAAATGTTATCAGCTCTTACCTACCTGTAACACTAGTATCGTTGGTGGCTGTAGAGACAGCGGCTGATGTCTTAGTAGAACTGCCCTGGAAGGAGAGCCAACCAACAATGTCAGGAACACAGCGGGGGGGATCTGCGCAGATTGCCGATGATGACATCCAGGGTGGTGGGCAGAGCCTCCCGCCGGTTTTACTACCGGTTCTTGCAAACTGGTCCGAACTGGAGGCAACCCACCACTGCCACCCATCCATCCATCCACTGGTGGGATTCAAATAATTTGACAACCGGTTCTCTGCCCTAATGACCAGCTGGGTGGGTGTGGCCATGGTGGGCATAGCCAAGGGGTGTGACAAGCAGCACTCGGCCTCCTGCATCCCCCTGGGAGCAAAAACGGGCCACGAGGGGGGCACCACAACCCCCTGCACCCTGT